GTAGGGACATGTACCCAAAGTTTCAGTCCCCCCACACTTCCTGGTTGCTGAGATGAAAGTGGGTGACAAAATGTACTCGCTTCTGAACACATACACATACAAACACAGACAGCCTCTCGACAATATGCGTTTTTGTCAGCTGCAGCAGCGCTATAGCGCTGTACAACAAAAACGCATATTCTGACGACCCCTGTGTGTGTGTGTGTGTCTGTTCGGATATTTTTACTCGGCACCCAAGCAAACTTCGGCGCCAAAATTTGCAGGTGGGTTCCCAGGCCAAGTTCCATCCCAGGACCGCGGTACCAACCCTTGCACAATTCTAGGCGTCACATACGAGGAGATGAAAGTTTTGGCGGGAGAATCGCTAACTCGGGAACCAGAAAAGCTAAAAAGCTGAAGTTTTGAGGTTATGTCCCCCGTCTACATAGAACTCAACGATTTCAAATTTATCCCCCAGTGTGCGTGGTTCCCGCGCATAGCTCCGTGACGATTCCTGGCGCGAGAATCGCTAACTCAAGAACAAGGAGAGCTGAAGTGCTGAAATTTCCAAGGAATATTCCCAGCCCATGTACGACTTAAATTTCTCAAACCCAACCGGTTTGCCACGTACGGCCCCGTAAAAGTTTTTGGCAGGAAATTGCTTACTCATGAAAAAAAAAATTTGGGAAGCCGAAATTTCAACGAAATGTTCCCTGCCCAAATACAGTGTAAACTAGTTACTTCCTGGACTTCAAGGACCAGTATTTCACACATTTCTAGCTACTGGGTTTTCGAGCTATTTCATTACAACACGAAATATTGCAAAAACGCATGATCGCACGGGCCTGCCCGGTGCGCGCCGCCACGGATTTTACCAAAGGAACGCTTCATTGCTTCCGCGTGAGTACGAGCGTCAGCGTAAAAGACACTGAGTAAAGCTAACGCGAGCACAAATCGTATCAGCACAGCATTAAACATCTGCTGGAAAGTGTGCAAAAAAGTCTGGTGCTTTCCAGCCTGGGTTATTGGTTATTCCAGCGTTATAGCGCTACTCCGCAAAAGCGCATAATTAGCGCATTTTATTGGGAGCCGAATCTTTCTTACGACTTGGTACTTTACCACCGTTTATCTGTTAGTAAGAAAAAGTAAGCTATTACTTTCAAAACATTGCACATTGAAGGGTCGCTGATAAGAGCAACACAGTGTCGCAAATGCCCTTAAAAGCCAAACAAGAATGACCTTGCAGTATCATTATGCTAAAGGTAGTGTCATGCGGATGCGAAATGTAACCGAAAAAAAACAGCTTGTTGTGGTGGTGAAAATAATGCCGTGGAAGACGCTTGGAACGTTGTTTCATGGACATTTAAATAATCAGGATCTCTGTCAGATGAGAAGTGTGCAGGATATAGTTGTGAAAATGAGGGAAAGTAAAGTTTGATGAGCAGAGGATGACGCTCGTCTTGCTAACAATCGAATTACTAAGTTTTTATCCGCGAGGAGGGAAAATAAACACTTCGGCCGCATCCCGAAGAGACGATGCACATATGCTGAAAAGGCGGTGAATAAGTCACTAAATGTATGATTTTCAACGTGAAATGGCCTAGCATAGTTGCGCCCAAGATGAGGAAGCAACTCAGCCAAATCACTGATAATAGGATTCGGGAGATCTTGGCATCCTTAATATTAGAGGTGCTGGGAAGTCGCAGAAATCAAAAAAAAAAAAAATTTTTTTTCTGATTTTAGAATTCCAAAATAAAATCAGCAAATTTATTTCGCATACCATGAACTGATTGCTGTTTTCGAAGCGACAAATACCGTCCTGAAGTACCAGACGGCTCTGATTCGATGTACCACTTATCATTACCTACAATTAGCTTACATCCTGATTGTTCCAACAGCAGTCATTTCAAATACAAAACTTTTAAGCCGCAAGAAAAGCCAGAACTCATTTAAATGGAAAGCTAGCCAAGAGAATGAACTTTGCGTTCAATCACCTCCTGACTCCCAACTCCTATTAAGCTCACACAACTTTATTCTAGGAAGTCCATGCGAAATTCCCCGCACTATTCTGTGATTTATGCTCTAAATATTTTTTATTTAGAAGTAAACGCATTAGAAGGTAAAATTCCGAAATTTTTAGCTCACTTTCACCGAGCAGTGATCTTTTACCAGGAACTCTATCGCTCATCGAAGTAGTATCAGCAGATTCATCTCACAAAGAAGAATATTTGGAAAGCACGTTGCAGGAGTCTTGACTTTTCACAAATTGCCCTATTTTAGCTAGTACCATCGAGATACATGTTACAACTGCAGGCAGCGATGAGTTATGAAACTTGGGAGGCAGCAGAGTCAATTATTTCGATATCACAGCGCCAAACGGGACTGACAGTTTTTCGAAATCAAAATATTTTCAGGAAAGCTTATCAAATTGAGCACAAGCCTAAGGTTAGCATATTTTGTTAACCACGCACAAGTGATATAAATTAAGCAAATGAATGCTCAGCACGTGGCGGGTGGGGGCTGTTCGGGTGATTTCCGCTCCTACGCGCCAACAAATTTCAGTCTGTGCTTACAGTTGAGAGATAAAAGACAAGTTGCAACCGAATATTTCCCCTTACATATGACACTTAGTGCAATTTCTTATCTCTTATTTTACTATTTTTAACTGGGGAAAGATTTCAGCTGCTTGAAGTGTCTCTGCACGCAAATACTGGCAGCTAGACTCTCTTTCAAATGAGTGGCGTGCAGGATATTACTGCGACCACAGAAGGAAGTAAAATTCGATTAGCAGTACAAGCTGACTGCAGTGTACAACCGACGCACGGCATTAGTGAGTGGTTTCGCGAGAAAGTAAACGACTATTCTGATGGACTACAAAGAGGTATTACAAATACTACAAACAGATCGCGGGTACTACTGAAAGTACACAACTCAAAACCGAAAATCGTTTGGAAATTGCATTATGCGTGAAGCAGTGCCTTGGTAGACATAACTAAATATGTGGCCGGTCTGGATGTATTCGGCAAGACCGGTCAAAATACTGGTGTGAAACTTTGGTTTTCTGGGATGGGACTAGCAGAACAACTGAAAAAGAAATGTTTGCATTTGCAGCTGCAAACAGCATTTCTCAAGAGAACTGCTACCCGTGAGCCTTCAATGACCAAGTCTTTCCCTGCGCTTCCGTAAACCATGCCACTTTTCGCGATTACTTTACCAAGATGGACATCACTGGCCGAAAGCTGCAGCACACTCTCTTCTTCGCCAGTTTTTGGATGATGCCGACTGTGGAACTGCAGATGCTTCATGCCTCTGGTGGACATGCCCAACACTCTGATGATGAAGATGTTCAGCTGAAAGTGAAGAATTTAATAATATCAGGAAAACCAAGATCGTTTGGGTTACCAGAGGGACTCCTGCGATAGCCCCTAAATATGGCCAGTCCAAAGCTAAAATCTCTCTTGTCCGGCCTGTTTATCCTTGACCGACTGCATCGAACCCTTAAAAAAACAAATATTGTCATGTCAGGGTTTATCGGCGCAGCTCTATTCTTTTCCACAGATGCTGCATACTGATTTTACAACAACCCACCTACAAGCAAGTCATTAGAATTACCTCCGAAATATGCGTAATTTCTTCACTGGAAATTAGTTGTATTTAATTGTATGTACTCAGCTATCAAGCTTGTCATACGGCCATGCATCTGCACGATTTTTGCGATAAGTCCCCAGCAGCAATTGCTTTCAAAGCAAAAAATATCTATGACGTTTGAAACGTGCCCAGCTGCGCTTGAAAGTGGAATTTAAAATACGAGAGTGAGTCGCGGACACGAGACGCCATGCATCATCAGTGAGCGCTAGTCGCTACGAACATAAGTAGCGGCGCACAACAGAGTAGCCGATATGATCATGAGTTTTGCACAGTTTCGACCGGCAAATGTTTGCCTTCCAAGGACTTTCACTGTTTTACACTTCGGCCTGTGAAAAAATAATAGATATGCTATTTCGTTTCTGAGACGCGGAAGTTCCCAGTAAAAATCTCACGTACCAATTCATGGAACGCAGACGTACGTGAAAGCTGAATTTGAAACCATGGACGGTGGACATTGTTCCTACATTTCAGCTTCCTAGTCTTCTGGTTTCCGAGTAAGTTTCGCATCAAAACATTCACGTGGTCATACGTGAAACCTCGTCACACTTGAGAGCTAAGTTTAAGTTTGCTAAGCATAAGCAGAAAACGTCCCTGCATAAGCAGAAAACGTCCCTGCATAAGCAGAAAACATCCATCTATCTATTTTGCAAAAACGGGAAAATCTCAGATATAGAATTGAAATGACATACTCGCATTGCGCAGTACAAACAGCTACCTTTAAATATGTAGAGTGCAAATGCCAGAACACATTCTCTAGAACTGGAATAGTTTTCTAAGCAGTTTTGTCTTTCGAGCTTCCGGCTGGATGCAGCGTCTTGCGTTTTACCACATCTCATGGACTGTCAAGTGTATCTACCAATTCAATGGACGACCGGACCCTATCATATTCAGCAGGCTAACCAGCAAGAAACGTAGCATTAATCAAGGCAAAACCGAAGAGCCGGAAAACCAGAATGTGAAATGCAGCTTATCGGAGCACCTGCAATTCTACATCATCGACGTCTCCACGGTTCATTTATGCGAATTCGATGTAGCGACACGGTTTTTAAAAGACTACTGCAAGCCCGGTACTCAAAGACCCAGGTCAGAGAGGGGATCCCATCATTCAGTCTTTACTCGGATCATTACCTTGCTAATGTACCGAACCCGAGAGTATGCAACTGATGAGAATAAACGAGCTGAAAGTGGATGACAAAAAGTGCGAACACACACACACAGACAGCCTCTTCTTGTCAGTGCACGTTTTTGCATTTCGAAATATGCAAAAACGCATAAAAAGTGAAAATGGCTTACGAATAGCACAATGAGTGTTATAACGGTAAGTACAGCCAAACAAATGAGCAGCATCCATAACCGTCGCTCGCGCAGCCCAGTAACATGCAGATTATATTCAGCAACCAATGGCGGTGCAGGATCCTTGAAATCAGGATACTGCTGTTGCTGCTGCTGCTCATCACTGCCACCGCCACGCAGATACGTCGGACCAGCAGCTGGCATTACAGCTCACTGAATAACGCAATGAACTTGATGCCCGCACAGCTGTGTCCTTCCTCCTGCTTCTGCAGCTGTTCCAAAAGCTGCTTAATGGAACAACAAACCTCAAAACGATATCCGCATCTGAGGATGCACGCGGAGATACACATGATTGCATGGGCGATGATGGTCCTTTATGATTTGGCTGTGGAGGACCGAAGATGCACTGATAACCGAAACTCTAATTTCCAAGTTTCATGCAAATGCGGGATTCTCTAGTTGCTTCGCCCTTTCCACCCAACTGTGAACTCTGTTTCCCCAGATTGTTCCAACTTATCATACCACGTTGCTCTTTTTTTCCTAACATCTGGGCTTTCCCTAACTCATATTTTTTGTGTTTATCTTTCTCTTCCTTCATCTTCCCACGTTACCAGTATGTCATCCTGGGCTTAGTAACTGTAACCTACGCACTAATTACTGGATTTACAATGCAATGACATGGGAAAATAAAAGCGCCTCGTGCTGCTATGTTAACCTACCTTTAACTTGAAAGGCATTTTCTACAGTTGTAGTTTTGTGAACAGTGCTTGCAAGACTTCATCAAGAAGCACACACTTAAACACTAAAACTATTATGACTCCAACCTCATTCCGATTTTTATGCGTTTTTGCACCTTATGCAAACGCAACCCAGTCTGCAGCGCACCAGGCTTGCCGGTTCGATTACGCGTTTTTGCGCTAAGCTTGCAGATAATAACAGGAATGGTGCCTACATTGTAGTTTAATGTTTGGACTGATATGGGCTGCGTTTGGCCTCTTTCTGCATGGGGGGAAGGGCGTCGGCTGGGATGATGGTGTTGCATTATGGAGCCACGTGGACCACCAGCGTGCATGATCATAATTTTTTGCATGAAGCCTGGTCGTTTTTCCAGTGAATATTCGGCCGTTAATACCCAGGCTGAAACGCGTCGGGCTTGCAGATGTGATCATACGTCTTTGCACCAGGCTTTAAGTAATTAGGTTAACTGCAAGGATAGTTGCTGCTTCACATCTACCTTATGTGCTCAATACCGCAAAACATCGTAAATTTTGCATAAACAAAAATAGTAATTTTCGTTTAGCGATCGTGTTTATGCGTTTTTTGCAGCTATGCAATGCAGACTCAGATCGAAACGCACCGGGCGGGCCCGTGCGATCATGCATTTTTGCGCCGGACTTTAATTACTTAGGTCATTAACTGCATGAATGGCTGTTGCTTTACACCTACCTTTTGCAGTCACTAGCATAAATCACCATAAATTTTGCAAAGTAATGTATAATTTCCATTTAACAGTCGTTCTTTAAATGTAACTTGGTTGTTCAGTGAGAAATTTTTTCGTCAAAACTGTTAACTGCCCGTACATAAAAACCACGCATACTTCAAGGCCGAATTTGAAATGCTTAACTTGTACTTGAACGGGGACTTCTCCCTAAAACTTCAACTTTCTAGCTTTTCTGGTCCTCGAATTAAAATTTTCCCGCAGAAATTTTCTTACGCCCTTACGTGAGTACCACGCACGGCCTGGGGCTGAATTTAAAATATTTGTGCTTTACTTGGACAGGGGACATTCCTTCAAAATTTCAGCTTTCCAGTTTTTCTGATTACCGACTTAGCAATTCCCCCGCCAAAACCTTCACATACGCGTATTTGGGTACTACGCGTGCTTGGAAAGCTGAATTTGACATTTTTAAATTGCAAGTGGACGGGGAACATCTGCATGAAATTTCAGCCTTCCAGCTCTTCTGGTTGCGAAGTTAGTAATTTTCCTCCCTTTAAAATTTCAGCTTCCCACCTTTCCTTGTTCCCGAGTTAGCAATTCTTCCCGCCAGAAATTTTTACGGGGCCGCGTGTGAGAACCACACACATTTGGTGAGTGTATTTGATAAGTTGTGCACGTGCAGGGGACATCCCCTTAAAAGTCTGGCTTCCCAGCTTTCTTAGTTCTTGAGTTGGCTATTTTTCCGCCAAAAAATTTCACAGGGCCGTACGTGAGAACCACATACGCCTGGGTGCTGAATTTGACGACTTTAAGTTGTACATGAGCTGGGAACATCTCCTTAAAATTTCAGCCACCTAGCGCTCCTGGTCTTCAGCCTAACGATTTTCACACCATGAACCCTTACGGGACCGTACGTATGAATAACACATGCCTGGAGGCTGAATTTAAAATGTTTGAGTTCCATTTGGGCTGGAAAAATAACCTCAAAATTTCAGCCTTAGTTCTTCTCGTTCTCGGGTTAACGGATTTCCCGTCAAAGTTTTCACGCTCTCGCATGTGGGACCCAGACTTACATGAAGGTTGGTACCGAGGCCCAAGGGTGGTACTTGGCCGGGGAACCGACTGGCAAAACTTTGGCATCAGAGCTTGTTTGGATGTCGAGTTGAAATACCCAGAGAGACTAACACACACACACACACGCACATTCACACACTGACAGGGTCGTCGCAAAATGCGTTTTTGCCCATGTGCAAATTGTAACGTAGTCGAAAGCGCACCGGCTGCCGATACGAGGATGCATCTTTATGCGTTTTGTGCTGTGTAACCAGCAGTACAAAACGCATATTGTCACGGGGTTGTCTGTGTGTTTGTGTGCGTGTGTGTGTGTGTGTGTCCGCAGCAGCTTGTCCGCAACTTTAATTCGGGGACCACAAAACCTAGGAAGCTGAAAATTTAGGGGAAAGTTCCCCACGCGCACGTGACCCTGCGAATTTAAATTCAGCTCTCCCGTACCTGCGGGTAACACATATGGCCCCGTGAAAGTTTTTTATGGGTAAATTAATATCTCGGGAACCACGGAGTCTAGAAGGCTGAAATTTTAGGATAATGGCCCCCTGCACACGCTCAACCTTGCCCATTCAATTTCAGCCTTTCCGTTCCCGCGGGTTACAGGTATGGCCCCGTGAAAGTTTTTTGCGGGTAAATTAACATCTCAGGAACCACGGAATTTAGGAGGCTGAAATTTTAGGGTATGACCCTCTGCCCACGATCAACCTTGCCCATTCAAATTTAGCGTTCCCGCGCTCTTGAGTATCACCTACGGCCTTGTGAAAATTTTGGCGAGTAAACTATTAACT